TGACTTGGCATACTAGTATATTTTAGCTGAAACAAAGTCCTGCTTACAGTATTAAAAGATTGTCATTATCACTGGTTTATTTTAATTTCAATACAAATTGAATATCCTCCATCTAAAATATTCTGAAATCCATAACTTTGCTTTCATAACAGGAAGTCCTTTAGGTTAAAACTATGACTCAATGTTTGTGCCATGAAAAATGATACAATAGTGTGCATGAAACTTGTCATGTATTCTAAATCCAAAACATTCTCAGTCCAATCATTTCAGATTAAGGATAGTCAACCTATATTACCATTTTTGTTCTAGAAAAATATAAAAGTATTTTTCTGAGCTTCTTTCCAGAAAATTAGCTTTTTAACATCTTTATTATATAAGAAATCATCATACATGCATAGGAAGAAGCTCTGGAAAAACTCCAAAATGCTCTATCAAGTATCTTCCACTGTATTAGATGGTAACTCAAGCCAACCAGTATCAATGTTTTCTTCATCTTCATATTCATGTGTCTCAGTTTCTAAAACTCATTTTATTATAACAACAGATTAAACTAAATTAATTATAACTGTGTAATTACATAGGCTTGCATTAGTGCATATCACTGGTTTACAATTGATATTGCTGATATACTATTCCTCCTGCTCAAAATTGCTTCTGCTAATAGTTTCCCCGATATCGTGATCCTTCATGTGCATGATGTAATGTCTGTAATATGTACAAATTCAGTTGTACATTGTTAATTTGTGCTGCTTCATTCTTTTATGATGATAAAAAAATAAATTTAAAAACTCACGCCAATATTTGTCTAGTTTCTGGGTACAAATTCACTGAGTTCAGCGTTAATAAAGCTTCTTTAGTATTAACACAAGTACTTTTGACGAGTGTATAACCGTCGTCTTCAGGCGAAAAGAACAAGTTTTTAACAAAACGAACGTGCAGGATGTTCCAAAAGAACATAATATTTAAAGAACATATTTATGGACGCCTGTTTGAATTTAAATATTATGTTCTTTTGGAACATCCTGCATGCTCGTTTTGTTAAAAACTTGTTTTTTTCGCCTGAAGACGACAGTTATACACTCATCGAAAGTACTTGTGTTAATACTAAAGAAGCTTTATTAACACTGAACTCAGTGAATTTTATGATGATTATTTACACTCTGAAAGCAATTCAAAATAGTGTCACTTATATGTTTTTCTCATTTTTATGATACTTTTGTCGGTTTCCTTGAAAAACATATAAATGCAGTTGACTGTATCTATATTTTTTAGCATTCTAAACATTTTGAAGTACTTCAAGTAAGTTTTATCATAACAAATATTTTTATTTTCAACTAATTTCAAAGTACTATATTTCAAGCACTCATGAAGTATTCAAAATATTTCTACATTAAAAGAATTTAGAATTTAAATTTTTGTGTACAATACTTCTGATACTGGTACTTAATATTTTCAAATAGTTGTCTCAGAGCAGTGTTTATTAATTGCTGAATTCCTCCAAACAAAGGTACTAGTCATCATAGTGCTAACTTACAAAAATAGCATGAAATAATTTTCCTAGGGATAAAAATGCCAATCAATGAAGTGGTCCAATAAAGATAAGAATTGCAACTTTTTTTTGGTGAAAAATTAAGCATTTTATGTTTTTAACTTGTAAGTATCAAACATAAGATCTATATACAATTGTATCTTGTATCTAAATATCTTTTACAACATCTAATGTTAAATGCTCATTAATAATTCTCTAATAACTATCTAGACACCAATTATTCATCAACCTTATTGTTATAGTTAATTCCAGTAAAGATATGCTACTTCATTGTTTTGTGACACATTATTAATAATACAATCATTAAACTGTAGTCATTTCTATTTGTGTCACTAGATGGCATTATTACTTTGTTTAAAAATCTGGTTGGTATGCATGTTTGTAATTCACAAACTTTTGTATAAATCAGTTCATCTAGAAGAGTTTTCCATTGTAAATACTCCTAATAAGTTCAATATATGGTGAATACTAAAATATATGTCATTTGGCATAAAATAAATATAAGAGAATATATGTAGGCTTTCTCTTTCTTAAAAAAAAAAAAAAAATCAATATTGACAATCTAGAAAAACACAGAAGCTTTTTGGGGATAAGTGAAGCCTTATCATGTATTGTGAAGGAAACATCATTGTACAACATCTACCTGTGATAAAAGGTTTGCTATCAAAAATAGTCTTGTTGCATAATAATGCTAATCAACATATGTAGCCTATACCATCATTTCATCCAGATTTACTGCTATTTAATTGACTGTCTATTAAATCCACTACAGAAGTTTTTACGATGGATTTTCTTAAAATATCAAACAAAAGAAATAAAGTGGAACTATCTGAACAGATGATGAATATAAAAAACATGCAAATATTTTAGAAGAATATACAAGATACAACTCTATCAAATAAATATTTTCAGTCCTATTCATTACTGTTCAAAACTCTTATAGAAGTGTAAAACAGCAAATAAAAAAATTCGTAATCTCTCCATAATGACTAAACAGCAAAATAATAATTAGTATGCAATTTATAAAAATATTAAAACTATATTTATTATAATCATTTTTATTTGCATATGAGGTATGTTTCTCATTTTTAATTTTATCAAATAATATATCTCAAATTACTGGGTGTTTTGGGGGTGAGTACTTAATGTCTACTTTTTGTATTACTTTGTACAATTAACATTACCTATATTTTCTTATTATTTTATATGGTTTTGATTTGTATATACGATTTTGTATATATTTTGATTAACAATATGCATTTATTTACCATCTGTGAAAGATGGTGAATAAATACATATTGTTAATCAAAATATAGAGGAAAAAATCTCTTTTTGAATGAAAACCTAAATAGACCATTTCTTTTATATTTCTAGATACAGATTATTTCACCCATCTTGACAGGGCAATATATAGTTCTCAGTTGAGGCTCATTCAAGAATCTCTTTTTGGTAACATACAGCAACCTTGTCAGATTTGTTAAACAATTCATTCCCTTCACTAAATAGATTGGTCCCTGCTACTGGCATTTTTACAGTCCTGCCAAGATTCATAAAATGAGCTGTAAATATGATTTAATATGTACATGCATATGCATACACACACACACACACACATTGCAGATTTTTGTTTTTTTAAATAAAAACTCAAGACAAAGTTATGTCAACAGAAATGTTCAGTATTTATTGCAACTAAAGAAAATTATATATCATGGTCTTCTGTGGTACCAAAATCAGAAAGCAATTCATTTGCCATGTTAGATTCTTCTGAATCAAAACTAACATTGTTTTAGTCATTACACACATGAAGTTTTGGTTTTAGTTAACTAAAACTAAAACATCATGTGTGTAATGACTAAAACACTAGTATACCAATTAGTATACCAATCAACACTAGATTCAATGTTCACATCTTTACACACACAATCATACTCAATGCAATTTCAAGCATTCAAAATGCAATATTTCTTGAAAGAGTGCTGTCCAACATTTTCTGGGATTTTCATCAATGTACTTACAATGTTACTGTAATAGACTAACAAGATTGAGTTGACCTCTTAAATACATTCTATTACAAATATTGGTCTAATAAAATCATTAACATGATGTAATGGAAGTAGAGACAAATAAATAAGATTCATGAAATAACAATCACTAATTATGACACACAATAAATCTAAGACACCTTACTTTCAGATATGTTAAAACTTTAAAAAAGTGTACATCTTACATTTGAGTAAATACAGATTATATTATATTATGTAATCTGTACTTACATTAATATATGATTACATTAACTTTAATAATGCAAAGTGTCTGAAAAAAATGTCCTAGTAAAAATAATGCTTTGAGACATTAATTATTGACTTAAAATTATTTAATATTACATATGCAGTGTAATTGCTGTGATGCGCCCTCTCATGAGCTCCTGAAAAGTGCATTCACCGAAGGGTTAAGTAAAATTTTGGCTCTTTCAGCAGGATTTTATTTATGTCTCCAATTCCCTAACCTCTTAATTATTTAACTACTTAAATAGAAANATAAAATAAAAAATTATACTTAAAACATATAACAAAATATACTAAAATAAATATGGTTAGAATGATATTATGTTAGTTCTAAAGAGCTGTCATTTATTATTTTATTTAATTTTTTTGCATAAAATAAGCTATTTCTGTGAAGTAGAAAGTTAGATAATTAGAATCACCAGTATTCATAACATCATGTTTTAAGGTTCTCATATAATTCCAGATTGACTTGACAGATCTATAATCACCTCTGCAGATAAATTTTTTTAAAGTTAAAGTTTTCTTAATACTGTTTTATCCTTATTCAAGTTTTTTGACAAGTCTGTTGCTGATATTTCTGAATATGATATTAATTTGTCTGATGTTCAAAAATTGTACTGTTTAGCTTTCTCTCTGTGATCTTTATGTATTCAAATTGCTTTAATTTTATCATCATAAATAGTAACTTTATAGATCTTAATTTTTGTCAGTATTGGATTGTTTTTATTAAGAAGCTGGATGACAATATAATTCCTTTTAATTTTCCTCTTCTTGTTACAAATATGCTTCATAAAATAATTCTCTTACAAGTTTAATAACAGTGGAGTTCTTCTGTTCTTTCTTTCATATTATTTTTTGTATGTGGAAGTTTATAAATTTTTTTTGGCATCAGGCTTGATCACCTTTCCACTTTGGAACATAATTAGATTTTTTATTAAAGGAATTTTTATCATATCAAAAGAAATGAACTGGTTAGCAGTGTTAAGACTTATCACTTTTTGAAAGATCATCTTTAACATCAAAAAGGGCTTAAAGGTAAAACTCAAAGTTATGAAAAATATCAATGGCAAATTCAATGTATGCAATTACAGTAAGAATTAGCATTGACAATTTAGTAAAAGAAAGGACAATAATAAAAACTGACAAAAATTTATAAGCATTTAAAACTGAATCAAACAATAAATTAAAAAATCTGCAATGAGTAAAACAGTACATAAACAATTTAAAATATACTCATTGCCATAAAAATTAACATAAGTTGTCATATTGCTATAAAACTTGGATTACAAATAAGTCTCAAGCAGATATAGAAATGATTAGAGTTATAGTGTGATGGCTTAATGCCAGCAGAAGGCATTAAAGTGCATCCCCTTATCCTACAAAAAGCACACAAAGGCATCCTGTCTGTAGTTTACCTGTTGCAGAGGGATGCTATATCACTAGAGATTCCTTTACATTGCAATGGAAGACCATATGAACAACTACCAGAGTTTGAGAAAGGAAGGATCATTGGGTTGAGAGAAGCCAAATAGTCATCTTGCTGAATAACCCACCACCTAGGCTGTTCTGACAACACTGTGAGGTGTTGAAACCTGTAAGGGAGAGCTCACACACCTTGTAAGGGAGAGCTCACACACCTGGTGTCCATACTCAGGACACCCTCAGCAGACCACTAGCCAAAAGGACCACCTGGTCCTCTTACAAGCACACACACAGCCAACCATATCATTGTCTACCATCCAGATACAGATGGTGCTATTATTACAGACCTGTGTCTATCCATACCATTTTGAGGTACCTGGGTAAGGAATATTTGGTATCATAGTGGTCATTACATGTGCTATCATTGACAGCCACCCATCGTTGCCTTGTTTGGAGCACTTCTGATGGGACTGCACCATAAAGAATGGAACGGGTTAATTATAGAAACAAATTCAGATTCAGTTTGGGCATTGATGATAGCCATATTCATGTCTGGAGGTCCCATAGCAAATTCCTCAATCCTGTCTACATTTTGGAGCTGTACCTCATAAATGGTATGATGGTCTGGGGTGCCATCACATATGACAGCCAGTCACTTCTAGTAATGATTCAATGGATCATGACAGTACAGCAGTATGTCAGTGACATCCTTGTGCCATATGTGCTGCCTCTTATGGCATGGCTCCCAAGAACCATTTTCCAGAAGGACAATACTTGACCACACACAGCAAGAGTGTGGGACCACAGGACTGCCTCCACATTTTTGTGGCCTGCCCAGTCCCAATTTGTCACTGACCAAACACATCTGGGATCACCTGGAACGCCAAGTTGGACAGCCTAGGAGTTTGGCCGAACTAGAGGACTACTTGAGGCAACTGTGGGACTGAGATGCCACAGGATACCATATGAGACCAGTATGCCTCCATTCCTGTCCATATCATATCACACATTTACGCTAGACATGGCCCAACAGGGTACTTTCATTTGTAGTTTTTCCTGCAATAAATAATTCTTTTGCATTCATTTTGTAATCACTTATATCACTGTTACACTCACACATGTACAATTTTGTTTGATTCCAACAACTCCTTCTTGGGACACTAATTTTTATGGCAATGATTATATATTTATAAATTACAAAATAAGATGGAAAAAATAAAAATAATATTAAATGAAGTAAATATTAAAAAACTTGACAGACGGAATTTAATTTTTGAATACCTCTAAGGAAAGGTTGCCTCAACCTCTCAGGAAAGGTTGTCTCCGCATATAAATTTGTTCTGGACTGCTAATGGACACAAAAAACAGAAGGAAAACAAAGAAGTTCGCGAAAACTTTTTTGTAATTTTAAAAATAAAAATAATAATTATGAATTACTAAATCAGAAAAAAATACAAGCAAAAACATTGTAAACTGTGTAATCAATCAATATATATTATAAAGGTAAATGTACAATGTGCATGCCACTAAAACTCAAAAACAAGTCCCGGTATGATCAAGGGAGTTATATGGTGTGGTAGCCCTCTATCCCCCATCCATGAAGAAGGTTCCCGTTTTTACCTGAAAGGCATGCTGTTGAAGATATAAGGGCTGGAAGTTTCGCCCTCTAGAAATTTCTAGAACAGTCCAGAACATTCGAGAGTATTCAAGAGCATTCCACAACATTCCAGAATGTTCCAGGATGTTCTGGAACATTCGAGAACATCCTGGAACATCCCAGCTCATTGTAGAACATTCCAAAACAATCTCGAATGTTATGGAATGTTCTGGAACATTGTGGACCATTCGAAGCCTTTTTTGTATGGGTGGGACAACCCATTGGTAGGGTATATAAAGCAAGATCCATCGTGGGTTCGAATGTCAGTTTCAACTAATCTATAAGTAAAGTTCATATACCCACACATATGCTGATTAAAATTCAAAACTTATATATATATTGAAAATAAACGTATGCACAGTTACAAAGGTTCACAAAACAAACATTTACAAAACATCAATCGTAACAAAGTTCAACTTTTATCCACGACAACAAGTCCATCGAAAAGACACCTTGCAACGAACTAACTCTAAAGTCCTTTACAGCACAACGAGAAGAGACAAGCTTCGGGGCAGCTTCAGCGAACTAAGGTCCAACGTGAGTTCCCTTCAAGCATCCAAGGTGAACTGAACTTCCCGCCACAACTCAATCCTTTTATAGGATTGAAGCAGAATTGGATTTCACCAATCAGAACTTAGCAGCTCTACAAGACGTCTGACGATGGCGTGATGTCGCTCAACCAATGAGCGGTCGAGTCTTCAAAAATGGTCTGATCACTGTTTCTATGGCGACAACCGTCGTTCGTTGAACGATTGGAAAAGCGCGGGAAAACCGTGCGCCAGATGATTTTTATCCTGACACCTCCACGGCCGAGGATCAAACTGAGCTTACTTAAGCCTGTTTGATTCCCTTCACAACACCAAACAACCTTACAAAAATTGTCCGATATCGAACTGACCCATACTACCGGAACATCCGGGAATTTTACCCGTCTACACGCAGAGATGCCTTTGTTACCGATGCCTAATAACTGCTTTCGTAAAGCTAACGCAGTCTGGTATGGGGTAAAACGTTTCGGGATCCACCCTCCCGTAAGTGTCCTGATGTTTTTCTTCTTCGGTCTATTACCGAACATCGAGTTGTAATCCTTCGACACGTCCTCCAGCTCGGTCTGTGCCGACGTCAGGGGAAGCGGAGGAACTCCCCTTACTCTCCCGTCCCATCGTCCGCGATCGTGCAGCTGTCGCAGGGACAGCGTTTGAACCGGTTCCCCGAATCTCCCGTCGGAACCAAGTACTATTCCTACAGCAAAAGTTCGCTTCCGATACTCTCTGGGACTATCTATTTGGTCCCAGTTAATTCTCCCGTCTTCAACCCTTATATGGTAGCTTCCCTTACGTTCTAATTTTTCTACCTCGGTAGACCCTTCCCACCGATCATCCAATTTATCATATGGGGAAGACTTTTCCACGAGAACCGTATCCCCGATGTTATATTCCTTTGGCCGTGCTCTCAAGTTGTATTGCATTACATACTCTTCTCGCTTTACGGCCGTATGCTTAGTTGCAATATCGTGAACACCTTTGATCTGATCTATCTTTACATTCCCTACTTCTAACATAAGGGTCATTTCACGCGTCAATCCTGCGGTGAAATTGGTCCGCTGATCGTAACAAGTCAGTTCAGGAAAACCCGTCCGTGTAAAGAATTGCAAAAATACCGAACAAGTGGCTGTCACCGAAAGTGCTCTCATCCCTTCCACTTCTGACCAATGGGTGCATAATCCGATTATGCTAACTGCGTATCGATGACCATTAGATGACAAGGGATCAATCGGTACAATCATGCCTATGTTAACCACTTGAAATGGGGTTGAGAATCGAGTAAGTGGTGTAACTGGGGTCCTATCTAGGACTAGATCAGGCGCTCTTACTAGGCACCTATGAATATTCTGGCAGTACTTCCGGATATCAATCGCCATTCCCGGCCAATAGCAGCTCTCACGAACGCAACTTGCTAATTTCCAACTGCCAAACTGTCCACCGCACGGAGCTTTGTGTGCTAAATCTAACACTTCTGTTCTCCGTTCTTGGGGAACATCTACCTGATTAATGAGCCTGCCGAACAAACTATATTGCCGATATAGTATCCTGTCCTCTACAACTAGCCCATCTTTCTTATCCTCAACGGCCTCCCACGATCGAGAAAGTGACTCGTCCCGGACTTGAGCGTCTCGTAATTCTGTTTCTTTCTCATTTTCGTCGCTATTTCCACTACACCCCGCCTCTGAGAGAGGTCCCGATTCCTTTTCCTGATGGTTTCCGTTACCATCTACCCTCGAGCTCCTTACCTGCCTTCCTCCCTCTCCCTGGAGTTTCTCTTTTCGGTCTAATAATATCCAGTAATCCTCCTCTGATAACAAGGCATCCGTGGTCTGGTCTAACTCATCTGTTAAGGCACAAGTCACCAGTTCTGACCTTCGCAACCCTGCGAAGTCTTCCTCCCCCAGCCCTATCGGGATCGTTACCGAATCAAACCGGTGACCAAAGGATCCAACCTGTTGGATTTCCTCCTTCGTTTCCGCCACCAATGATTCCCTTATGACCGAAATCTCATCCCCAGAATCGACCATAGCTGAGAGACTATTTCTGTCGCCTACCGGCTTGATTCTTTTCGGCGCATCCTTGACCTTTGGTTGGTCACACACCGTTACCCTCACTACCAAAGGTTCGTCTGTTTGGGATGTCTTGTTCGTAGTTACTAGCCATGCCTGTTTGGACTCATTGGATGCCTTCCGCTTAGGACAAGCTCTCTTCTAGTGCCCAGCCCTTCCACAGGCATTACAATTAGCCTTGGGGGTCTGTTCAACGAAACTCTGTGCCGAGGGAATGGGTTTCCTCGTCATTCCTCTCTGAGAGTCCCATCGCTCTCTAACCTCCTCGCTGTTACCGGGCAACCTACTACCTGACACCTCCCCAAACTTCTCCGTGACCTTAGCTACTTCCGCCGGCTTGCTCCATCCCTGGTGCCCCGGATTGTCTAATTTCCTCTTGACAACCCACCCTGCCGAGCTCCGCGCCTGAAAGAGTCGCCTTTCCTGCTCTAACTCGATTTTTGCGAGTTCAATCCGAAGCTTAAGCGATTCGATTTCCTCTCGATATTCGCCTCCCATCACGCCTGCCTTTCGTCCCTTGGTCAGCCCATCATCTTCCCAATCTCTTGTTTCCAATCCACGCGATTTTGCGCGTCTAGGCATCTCTGTGCTAGCGAGTAAAATAAAGATTTACCTGGGTCAATGATTGCCGGTGTTGTTCTGTCCTTATGTTTGTCGCAGATCAGCCTTTCCGATCCGTGGTAATCCAAAGGTAATCCAAGGTAATCCTGTCGACTGTGCCAGTAAAGTTCAAAATACACCACACATACGCTGATTAAAATTCAAAACTTATATATATATTGAAAATAAACGTATGTACAGTTACAAAGGTTCACAAAACAAACATTTACAAAACATCAATCGTAACAAAGTTCAACTTTTATCCACGACAACAGGTCCATCGAAAAGACACCTTGCAACGAACTAACTCTAAAGTCCTTTACAGCACAACGAGAAGAGACAAGTTTCGGGGCAGCTTCAGCGAACTAAGGCCCAACGTGAGTTCCCTTCAAGCGTCCAAGGTGAACTGAACTTCCCGCCACAACTCAATCCTTTTATAGGATTGAAGCAGAATTGGATTCCACCAATCAGAACTTAGCAGCTCTACAAGACGTCTGATGATGGCGTGATGTCGCTCAACCAATGAGCGGTCGAGTCTTCAAAAGTGGTCTGATCGCTGTTTCTATGGTGACAACCGTCGTTCGTCGAACGATTGGAAAAGCGCGGGAAAACCGTGCGCCAGATGATTTTTATCCCAACACTATATATATATATATATAAAATCGAGACAGGTTGATAATAATAATAGTAAGTGCAGAGCCCAAACGGTTAGGAGTTCAAAGTTGAAATTTGGTACACAGTTAGGGTATGTCACGAGAACGCACACTAAGAAGGGATTTTTCAAAATTCCTCCCATGGGGGAAAGGGACAGGATTAACGCTTCAATAATGGAAGTGTTCAGTAACAATGGAAGTGTTAAGAGAAAGCAACGTGCAAGATTTACAGGCGCAGATGTGGTTTTTTGCATTTTTGCGGAAAATCAAACATATTTTTAGCCCCATCTAAAAATTTTCTAATTAGTCTGGAAACAGAGGGACCTAATTCTTGCATTCTGTGAAAACAGGTAAGATTGGCTGTAAAGTAATAATCTTAATCTTCGTTATCATTACTTTTTGTCCGAGCAACGCCGAGCTCATCAGCTAGTAATATATAAATGCACACTCCTATACTTGTAGTTAAGCAGTTAAAGTTTATAGCAGAGTCCCAGAAACTTAACTCTTGATAACTCAACATTCCATAAAACTCATTGTGTTACAACACACCAACAACTACTGTAAATCATCGAGCTATAATTTGGAATAAATAATTATAAATTACAAATGAATTAATAATTTTAATACGAGATGGCACATAACACCTCCCTCTAGTGCCAAATTCATTTGTAATTTATAATTATTTATTCCAAATTATAGCCCGATGATTTATGACAGTTGTTAGTGTGTTGTTCCTTTGCATCAGGTTAGTAGGGTTGTTTATATGTACTCATTGTATTGTGAAAAAAAAAATATATATATATGTGTAACCTAATTTTTACCTCTATAACTTAACACTAGATCAAACAAGTTATCAATCTTCACTGGCAACAGTTCAGATATAACATCAATTCCACATGTTAACAAAGAATATAATCCCTTTTCCAAGGTACCAGTGCAAAATGCCACAATGTAAATATAACTCTAAATTAGTCACTAAATAAACAATATTTTTTAAAATTAAAATTTAACTACAAATAGAAATAGTCACTTTTCTGGATATCCATATCCTTATCCGCAGATATCCGAGGAAAAAAAAAAAGATCTGTATCCATATCCATTACTTTTTAGTGGATCTTTAACGGATCTTTTATCTTAATGAATTTCATTACTTACATGAAATTTTAAAGATAGGTAGCAATAAAATACTAATAACTTCAATTCAAATCACTTTTTATTTCTTAAAATCACATATTTGGCACATTCATATTGCAAAAATTTTATCATCTTTATCAATTTTATCATATTGCAAAAATTTTATCATGCAAAAATCATTTACTATTGTAAAATATTTCCATATTACACTGCTAAACTTTTTTGTCGACAATGTTTTTATTTTAATTTAACTCAACACTCTCCAAAAATACAAACGTAATCTATGCTATCCCGTTTCACACTAAACTATAAACAAAAACATGCGCAGTGCAAGTCAAAACATGTCACGTGACTAATGCAAAGCGTCAACTATCAGTCCAAGGTCACATGCACCGGTGCAGACTGAGTACGAATATTGAGATCTGTATCTGTGAATCTAGACACTAATGATAACATTGGATCTGCGGATGTACATTTTTAACGATCTGTATCTGTATCTGGATCTGCGGATATACATTTTTAACTATCTGTATCTGTATCTGCGGATATACATTTTTAACTATCTGTATCTGTATCTGCGGATATACATTTTTAACGATCTGGCACATAACTAGTAGTTAATATGTATATAAATTTGGCCATATAATACCTTTATGAAAATTCTGCTATTTAGACTAGCAACTATGTACATCAGCTTGCTATCCAAATTGGATAGCAGTAACAGTATGTGTTCCTATCTCTAATGTTGCCTCATATTATTTATCTGACAGCTAACCCTAAGAACAGTATAATTAGGCTGAGCATAATTTTTCGTACTCTTTGGTTAACAGGACACCAGTCAATCAATGACATCCAATTCATGTTCACGTCTTAATATACGCTCTAATTTAGGTTAAAGCGTATACAAAGTCAATTTGAACATAAACTTACCCTTTTCTTTCAGTTTGTATAAAAGTTATGAAAGCCAGTCATGAATTTAAACAATGAGTGGTATTAAAAACAATTAGCATATTTTCACATTTGTATAATTGCAAAACTGAAATTTCTACTTCTAGTTGTTTATTTTACGTATCACTTGTTATTTTATGTTATTTAGTTGTAAGTTCATTTTTTTGTAAATTGTTCATTAATTCATCATAATTTATACATATTTGAAATTATAAAATAAAACATTGATTTTGCTGAAAATGTAGTGAAAATGACTGGTGTCCTGTTAACTGATGAGTACCTAATTTTTTATGTCATAACAAGATAAGAGAGTGTCTGTGGCTTTCCTAGTAAAATTCCATCAAGAAATGTATGTAAGCATTATTAACAATTTGTCAGTAATTATTTGTAATATTGATTTGGTGGTATAAAAAAGAATACATATATTTTTATAACAGATTTTATTTTCAAAAATATAATAATGAAAAAAATGTTATTTTTCATTATTATATTTTAAAAATAAATATCATATCATATATTTAAAAAAAATATGCTATCAGATTTAATAGTTAGGTTGATGCAGAAGGTTTTTCAGGGTCAAATCAAATATATTTTTCAATAAACTTATTTTAGTTAATAAATTCTTGTCACTCTCAGTTTTATCATGAAACTTATCACATTGAAAGTCACAATTTTGCTTTATATTTAGTATTACTTTCATGGCTTCAATATTTAATCTTGATTTTTCTTTTAATCACAGAAAATTTATGAATGAAAATATTCTTTCTACAAAAGCTGTAGTTCCTGAAAAACAAAAAATTAATTTTATCAAATTGTTGAAATCTTGAAATTCAAAATTCTCTTTATGCATTTCGTGAAATATTTTGACCCATCCACTACATTAATTTTTTCTTCATTCCATTTTTCCAAATGTTTGGTTATTATTGTCTTTATCGTTATCCATTGATCAAATAATCAAATTTTATCTGTTTCTGTTCATGTAATAACTTATATTCCTTAAATTTGCTGTAACTATTCTCTATTTCTTGTCATTTAGACATTTTTCTCAGCAGTATCCATTCAAATTTATGACCTTTATCAATGTAAAATAAACATTTTCTAACAAATCATGAGTTCAAAATATTATAGACAAATATTTAATACACAATTTAGAGAGCTTAGTTTTTTGATTTTCAAAAATGGAAAAAAGTGTAAAGTAAATGGTAGGATGGTTGAAACAGAAAAAAAAGGCATGTGGGTCAGCCTATATATAATATAATAATAAATACATTTTTTTGTAATAAACAATTTCATTTGCAAAATAATAATTTAGAATATTAAAAAAATACATAATTTTGGTAATAATAGTGGTAAAAAATGTTTTGATTAGCAAATTATGTTAATCAAAACAATTTTTACCATTGAATAACCCAGTTTGTTTAATAAAATTATTGATGGAACCTGGCCACTCTGATACTAATGATCAGATTCTCCTGCTATAGACAAATTTATTGATAAGAATTTTCATATATATTCTTTCTGTGATCATTATCAAATAGAGAAATAAATTATTAATGTCAAATTTATAAGATATATTTATGACCTAATAAATTCATTAATAGAATTTCTAAACTATATGAATCTGGTACTAGAAGTAGGTATGTCACCATCTGTTGATAATTATAACGATTAAAGAATTTAACTAACTAAGTTTTCAAAACATGAAAGACAAAATGATATAGAAAAAATTCAAATCCAAACTGTTACATATCAAATGGATAGCATCTATTTGAATGATGGATAAAGGATCGAGTTGAATACAATTGTTCAATAAGTGAATACTTAATATTAACCATATCTAAACAATGCACAAAGAAGCATCGCAGAAAGAATGAATACAATCTACTTGTAGTTAATAGAAATTTTTTTTTGGCAAAAAAGGAATTAAATCAGATTCTAGAGATCTTCCAATATGTAAGCTGGAACTTATGTATAAAAAATCATGCCATTCATACTGATTCTAGATATTGTACTATTAATTGGGCCTAATTATGCAAAAAGCTACCAACCCTCAAATCTACAAAAATAATGGGTTAAAGTTGTGTAAAAATTCAGTATTGTTCAACTTCATTTTACAGGAACAACAAAACCACATACCTAACCTATTGAAGTAATTAATATAAAAAAGTTACTCAAGGCAGGAGGTTAACTGAAAAAGTAGTAGATATTTTTAATGATCCTTGTGTAGCCAGCAACAATTTTCTTCTGATCACACAAATGCACTTTCTCACTCTTATGTACACAGCAATACAGACATGCATATCCTTACATACATATATAAGTATTTGGGTTAGATGGAGCAAAAGATAATTTATATGTACTAATACTAATTGTAAAATTTTCAATTACAAAAATTCAACTCTCCACCTCAATTCTATCACAATACAACAGTCATGCAGTGTCTCTATTTAATAAACTGAATGTTTGGATGTTTAAATTTAGCTTAAGTTATTGTAAAATTATATTCATAGTGAATCTGTGATGGCTAATAAAGCAAAGTATTCACTGTTTAGAACAGTGTTTCCCAACCTTTTTTGTGTTATGCCCCACCTATGCCTTTCTAAAATTCTTATGTCCCCTAGCATATACAGTGACTATATGGTTAACTTAAACTCTGGACGAGTCCATTTTCGAATTGCCGCACTTAACAATCCAATTGCCCCCTGTGGGGCGTGGGCCCCACGTTGGGAAACACTGGTTTAGAATATTTTTTAAAATATTTCATTCCATAAACTTTTTGAATGCACCTTAGTTCTCAAAGATTAGATTTGTAGATTTGATTTTCTTCTTTAAGATAATATCCAAAAGTTCATTTATGTCTATTAACAAATATGTATTTTTAGATATTAACTCACTGTTTTTCCAGAATTTATTACTACTAATTATTCCTAGTGCCTTAAAGTTCCTATAGATCCAAGCACTAAGAATAATGAGAAATATAAATCCTGGAAAAGAAGTAAATGAATATCTGAGTTAGTTCTAGTGTTGCTTATTTTTGTGTTAAATGTATATTTTTTAAGTCCTATCTATAAATGTATCTACATGAGCCTAGTTTAAGCCTACATTTCGAAGAATTGCATCATAATTATTGAGTTGAATGAAAAAGGTTATGTTTATTTTTGAAGAAAATATATATGTTCAGTCAATAATGTAATTTCCATCATTTGTAATAGCCTTCTTTCAACATTCCATAAACCAATGACTGTACTGTACCTGAATAAAAATTTTGTGTTTTTTACTCAAAAAAATTGATTGTATATCATATTTTACTTCTTCAAAACTTTTATATATTTTACTATTTAAATGATTTTGTATAATCTGAATAAATAAAAATTAGAAGGCATTAAGTTGGTGAATAGGATTATTCAATAATTTTTTCTAATTTCTACCTGTAATTTTTCTGCAACTACTGTTTTTGAGTGTCCNTCTTGTTTCCACTTTTATGTTTTGGAATCAAGGGATCTTACAATGTCAAGAAATGCAAAAAACATGCAAAGGATTAAATTTGAACAATTACAATACTTTCCCTTTATTATTCTAACAGCCACGAAAACAAAATTCAATTTTTTATTTTAAAAAAAATAATGAAAAGGAATATATAATGAAAGAATTTTCAGCTCTAAAAATTGCTGTTTATGAAATACTTTTTCAATATATAAAAATTAAAACAAATCCAAGTTTATTTTAATAAAGAAAAATTTATAATAATAAAAAACAAACAAACAATATTATAATACATAATATTTTATTCTTTAGAATAAAATATTATATATTAGTGTCTTTGAAGTATATAAGTCCTTACTCACTTTATATTTAGATGAATAATATTGGCTCATTATCAATATTACAGCAAATTCACAAACTGCAAATTTGAAATACACATACATAATATATGATGAAAGACATTGGCCGTACACAAAATGTTTAGCAGACAGAAAAGAGGGAGGAAGGAGGGAGAGGAGACAGACAGTAGAGAAAGGTAGGATCCCTCTAAACAGCGTACCCTCTATGTTTGATGTTGGTATGCAGTTTTTAGGCTGCAAGGCCTTAGTCCTCCGAAAGGTCTAAAAGAAAATCTTAGTATAGGGAAGACCAATAATTGAGTGCCACCA